CAGAATAAACAAACATCATAAATTACTGTATTTGACAAAGCACCATGGAATGCATAAACAATTACACATTAAGGATTAAGGAAAACAATACCAATAAAACAAAAACAAAAACAAACGAACAAAAATAAACCCAATATTCACCTGCGTGAAAATCGTGTGTTTGGGGCAGATGAACGAGAACTGCAGGATATCCGTATCGTCGTACAAATCGGGGAAAAGCTGCTTCATGGGCACGCAGATGTGGAAGATCTGACACTCGTTGTCCTGGTCGGCGTAGTAACCATAATACTGTTGGTGGAGAAAGGGTGTTCGTTTCTGTTGTTGATTTAGTTCTAGGGTATAGTGAGGCCTAATCTTTGATATGAGCCGAGTACATTGTGATTGTCTCACCGGGGGCATTTGTTTACCCCATATGTGAGTTTGGCATAGAACGCCTCGATAAAACAGAAGCAGAAAAAATAATAACAACAGGAACCAGTATCAAAAACAGAATAAAACACAAGAAGAATACATGCAGGCACATACCCTTATCTTCCTTTCCTTCATGTCTCCCTCGAAAAAGAAAGTGGCCCGATGTTTCTTAATTTCGTCAGTGAATATTTCATACGATGACCGTCTTAAATATTAGCAAGTGTATAGCAAACCAGCGGTCATAAATAAATACCAAAAAAAAAAAACAAAAAAACAGACCTGTGAAATTGACATCACAAATGTTTTGATCCCAGGGGTCACCTGTAGTGTCGCCAGTACAAGCGGCTGGCTGGCCGGAGCTGATTCAAAGACTGATCTCACACTTTGCACTCATCCTTTCCTCCATCATACCTTCCATTTCCTCATTTTTATTCAGAATATGCGATTAACTCATCCCCTCCTCTTCCTCACAGTTTACCACCTCATTTCTAAACCCTTTCCACTCGTGTCCTTTTTCACACCTTTCATCCGTGTCCTTTCCACGCACTTTTCCCCCATGGTCTCCGCCCCCCCCCCCTCCCTGCTCCCCGCTACTCACCCTGCCGTCGCAGCTGAAGGTGTCGACGATGCCCTCCCGGATGGCCGTGGCGTTGTCCACGAGGCGGCTGATGAGGGGCGGCAGGTCGCCCTTGGCGCCGATGAGGCGGCTCTCCGACGGCGCCTGGTCGATCACCGAGCGGGCGATCGAGCGCGTGTACAGCTGTCGGGATTCGCGCGGGAACGCCGGGGCCGCCGCCAGGGCCGACGGGGGCGAAGGCGCGCCCAGGAGCGCCAGCGCCGCTGCGGGAGAGAGAGCGTCAGGGCGGTGCGGAGGAGGACATGGCCACGCTGGCTGGGCGAGAAGACGAAGCAGAAAAGATTCCTCTCAAATATCCCTTGAGACTTGTTGAACCTGACACTCCTTGAAATTTAATGGCTTCAGCTATCGGAGTCCTTCCTGGGGTCGCCTAGACATCAAATATCATTTCAGAAGTGAATACTTTGATTAATAATGGGCCTTGAAATTTCATATACGATAATCAAATTTAATGACACTAATTTAGTCTTTTTTCCAACCGCGCAGTATCTTTCGAACAGTTATTTATCATGCTTTTCCTTCCTTTTACAGCCAACAATTACTAGTTTATATTCAAGCCTATACATTGTAGAACAGACCGGGGTCGCTGTCATATCTAGAGGTGCATGACTGGGGTCGCCTGGAAAAGGTTGGGAACCGCTGCTCTGTTCTGAGCCAGGGCAGACACCACGCACACATTCATCCATATGCATGTATGTATGTGTTTATACATACATACATAAGCCTATCTATATATCTGTCATTTATCTATCTATCTATCTATCTACACACACAACACACACACACACACACACACACACATATATTATATATATATATATATATATAATATATATATATATATATATATATATATAATATAATATGTATGTATATATATGTATATATTATATATATATATATATATATATATATATATATATATATATACATATACATATACACATTTTTATGTACATAGTACATAAATACGGTATACACACAGACAAACGCACACACACACACACACACAAAACACCCACCACACCTAACCCCCCCCATATATATATATATATATATATATATATATATATATATATATATATATATATATATATATATATATATATATATATATATATATATATATATATATCACGGACGCTGCACAATCGAAACGGAATAAAAACGCTCCTCAAGAATCCATCCTCAGATTAAGAAAAAAATCCATTAGGAAGAATTCGGGTTTCCACGGCGCGTCTGGTTGGGTCGTGACGAGTTTCAACTTTTTGACTCGCTCTGTCGTGGTAACGGGTCAACGGCCATTTTACGTGACTGTGTGTTTTGCTCATACATATATACACAGAAATACACGAACGCATAAAGACAAACACACGCACACTCAGATGCATATGCACATAAGCTTATACACACACGCATACACACAAACACATGCACACAGATGCACATGCACACACAAACACGCACATAGACATAAACACAGACACACACACACGATTGTGTGCATGTGAGTTTGTGTTTGTATTTTCACGTGTGTGTGAGAGTTTATGTATATATATTATATAATATATATATATATATATATATATATATATATATATATATATATACATATATATGTATATATATATATATATATATATATATATATATATATATATATATATATATATATTATATATATATATATATATATAAATATGCACACGCGCACACAGGCACATACATCTATCTATCTATCTATCTATCTATATCTATCTATATCTATATCTATATTATATATATATATATATATATATATATATATATATATTACAAATGTCCGTATTAATAAACCACCCCAAGAAAAATAAAAAGAAAACAGGAGAAAAATAACTAAATAAAATGGGAAATAAGAGGAGAGAGAACAGCGACTCCCCGCCCCACCCGCGCATCTCAACGCGTCAAACCTCCAGCTGATGATGCCTAATGAGGTCGCTGCAGACTCGCTAATTACCTCTAACAAGCCGCAGACTCCCTGGTCGTGTGGGTCCCTCCCTTCGCCGACTCGCCCCGGCCGTTAAATATAGGGGCTGGTCCTTTACCGGAGTGCTGAGCGCTTTTATGCTTTCTTTCGTTTTTTTTTTCTCTCATTTTGATTTTGTTGAGATAATTTGAAACTGTCTTGATGCAGCATATTATCTGAATTAAATTGATAAATGTGAATTGCATATATCTTTTTTATTATTTTTTAAAATTAGTAAAGGATTATGCACATATCTATATCTCATTTTGTTTGTTGTTGTTATGATAGATATTTTTTCTTTTTCTCTGAGGAATTGTGCTAACAATATGGACGCTAATATTTGTATGCAGTGCGGCATATCAAGTAGGTGTTACTTATACAGTATATGTACATGAATATGGACTAAGTACTGTAATATTTCTGCAGTATTGAATATTTATAGTAAATATTCCTTTTACATCTCTTATCGATGGGATGCTTTGTATTGATGTTTCATACCTATTAGAATTAACGAGCAACGTATAAATGGTATCATTATATCCCTTACTTATCATTATCAGTATCTATGATATACAGCAGCGTAGAACAATCTCTAAATAATACATGTTCATAAGTTATCTATCAGCATATAATAAATATCAACGTAAAAGCAATTACAAATATTCAATTTCACAGGCCCCTATCATTCAAAATCGTTCTTGATTCGACTAATAGAAACAATCAAATATGCTGAATTCTAGTTAACTCATAGTAAAAATGTTCGTCAGATAATCAAATAAACATCTAACAAAATGATCACATAAACAAGTTTTTTCTTTGCCGCTGTCCTCAGTCGACGGAAATAAGTACACACCAATTAGTAACCTAATTAGAATGACGTTTGATTAATGGAATGTCGTCGCGGACATTCTACCTAGGTCGTTGGTCAGGCAGGCACCGCTGGTAAGGAAATACGAGGTGAGGTAATGTTTGGGTAGATATTTGTGCTGTGGGCTGAGAGATGGTGTGGGCAGTGACGTGTCGTGGGTAAAGATTTGTGCTGTGGGCAGTGACGTGTGAGCATGGGCGAGTAGTGGGTAGAAATTTGTGCTGTGGGCAGAGAAGTGCTGTGGGTAGGGATTTGTATTGTGGGCTGAGATGGGTTGTAGGCAGTGACTTGTGGGCAGAGACGTGTTATGGATAGAGATTTGTGTTGTGGGCTGAGACTATGCTAATACAGTATGTATTTTAAAAGGGGAGGGATAGAGAAAGGGGTGAAGAAAAAAAAGAGTAGAGAGAGAGAAGAAAGAAAGAAAGTATAGGCTGATAGATAAAATAGATAGAGGGGTATGCACGTAAATAAATAACCAGATTGATGAATAGACAGACATGTAGGTAGATATTTGGGAAGACAAATAGATATATCGATAGGTAGGTAGATATAGATACATATAGATAGACAGCCAGGTAGATAGATCAGCAGGTAGATAGGTATGGAGATTGATAGATAAATCGGTAGGTAGATATAGATAGATATAAATTCAGGCAGCTAGGCAGACAGATAGACAGGGATATATATAGATAGATCAATAAAGAGAAAGAGGGAGAAAGAGAAAGAGAGAAAGAAAAGAAGAGAGAAAGAAAAAAAAGAGAAAGAAGAAAGAGAGAAAGAAAGAAAGAGAGAAGAGAGAAAAGAAAGAAAGAGAGAAAGAAAGAAAGAGAAGAGAGAGAGAGAGAGAGAGAGAGAGAGAGAGAGAGAGAGAGAGAGAGAGAGAGAGAGAGAGAGAGAAAGAAGAGAAAAGCAGAGGCAGAAAGATGCGAATAAAAAAAATAGTTAAGAGTCAGAGATAGATAGACAGCACCCTTCCATCCTCACCCCTCCCTCCTCCTCCCTCTCACCCTCCTCCTCCCTCACCCCCCTCCCTCCTCCCTCCTCCCTTCTCCTCCTCACCCCCTCCCTCCCTCTCC